CTTACTGAAAGCTAACTCCATCGTGAAACGGAGGCCTGACGAGTACGCTGCAAATGTGACTCAAGGAGTAACCCAACGGCTTCCATATGCAACACAGCTCCAAAAGCTGGCCTCTTCAATAACGGTTGAAAATGAAAAGTGAAGAAGAACCCATCCGATGCAGTTTATTTACAAACGGGATGATGAAGTGAAATGCTTTACGAGGTTGACCAGTTATGTACCTTGGATCCGTCATCTCCAGCGATAGCCCCATCCAATCAGAATGAAATAGGAAGATCCCTTTCACGTCCGGTGCCGGTGCTGTTATTAACCTGTCCAATACTTGGGCCGAGAAAAGGACGTCTCCTTCCGTAAAATCCGCCTGTACGTTGCCTCTGTCAGGTCAATGTTGTTCGACATGGAGATATTGGTTATTAAGAAGTGACAAAAGTGATGGTTGAATTGCGTACAACTGAGTTGGCTTCGAGGTATGATGAGGGTTAAACGTCAGGATCATGTAAGAAATGATTAGATTCCTTTACGGGCGCATTTGAACTCAGTAAATGAGGGGTGGGGGAGCGGGTGGAAATAGATAAGGAGGTTGGTTGTTGCTGTTAGACAAACTGGTTGATCAGACACCGTTTACTCTAGCCTGTCAGCTTCTAGCATGGGAGCCGAAACGGAGCAGACTTCGACCAGTAGGTCAGTATACAAGGAACAAAGTAGAAGCGTATATACTTTCGGACAGGAATACTTCTTTCTGCGGTGTAGTAACCGGTGCTTTGAAGCAACAGGGTTGTAAGGCTACTAATGTAACAGATATCAGAAAAATGAACATTGTGTTTGCGCGGACAACTCAAGCAGATGATTTCAGCATTTAAACAAAGTTCAACCAATTCTGCCCGGATACGTGATCCGAGTCTCCTGCTCTTCGGGCGATTGTCGTCGATTAGTTTGTTGCATCAGCCGACATCCCCATTTCAGAGTGCAGATGGTATAATAGAAAGATATCGGTTTGGTTTTTCTCTGGACTTAATGCGAATTGTAACTCCATCTAGCAACTCAGGATATGCGATCAGAACCTTCTTATATTTTCAGACAGAGCTGACTTAGCGACATGTATCAGCACCAGACATCATCGTATTTTTATTGATCTTGAACTTTGCATTTTCGATTATCAGCTTTACTGATTTTAGACCGTGGTCACTCGGTCGGTAGAGAACCAAGAGGTCTCGGGTTCGAACCCTGGGGTGGGGTCACCTAACTTTTTCCCTCTCAAACAGACAAATGAGTACCACTCTGTGTGCAGATGATTGCATGACATGCTGGCTACATAGAGGTTGACTCAGCCTTTGAATAATTCACTCTTAGCTAATAGCATATCAGCGCCGCGCCAGAAATATAAAAAAAGGCACATGCAGCCCCCCTCAATCATGAAGGTGCAAGGGCAGCCCACGTCTCAAGAAGTAAAAGCATTCCTTCCCTTCCTCATTGATTTTTAGTTATCTATCAGACGGACCAAAACGAATTTTGATGACTATCTGTCTCGCGAGCTCTGCCTTTACCACACTAGGACACGGCGCTGCCCCAGTTCTTAGCACACTAACGATTTGCTACTATTTCTGAGCTGGCCGGCGTGAAATACGGTAGGGGGTTCCTTTATTGAGGGCAATCAGCTTTTGAGTCAAAAGATTTTACTCCGCACATTAGTCTCGAACTCGACACATTAACAATAGAGGACAACATCCTAATTCAATGCACTTCGGTCCCTTTTCCAGCCGACCATTTAAGAATATGTCACGAATCTTTACGAGGAGTACATACCTCACCGTGCTTGGCCTTTCATGGAATTTTGTCCCTAGACGGCACACCTCCTCCCTCCATCCGAAAGCCAAGATGAAACTGGGCAGAGTGACCAGTTGAAAACATGGCCGCAGGTTTTGCAAGTGCAACTTGACCAAACATCACCACAATCCCATCAGTTGCTTGCTATCGACTTCCAACCCATTTCTTGGCTTGTGTCACTAGAGCACGATGCCATTAATCCCTTGCTCAATGGAATCGGCCGGTAATCAGACAGTTCCTTGCTCCCTGGACCTGGATATGAATGCTAGGACTTTCGTCTGTTAGGCCAGAAAATTTTCGCTTCAACTCCGCACAA